ACCCTGCTCACAGACTGAGAAGATAAGACTGCTAGTCCAAATCCCAACTTCCTTAAAGAGTCCAGCATTGCTGAATGTATTCTGACTAATTCAGCCCCAAAACAAACCCATTGAGAAGACTGATGCAGATCCACAATTCACAGTAATACAGCCTTGGAATAATTTACAAGAGTCTATTTCTTTATCTAGCCTGCTTTCTAACATGTTTGGGGAATTAGAGATCATATAGATACAACTCTTCAAACAGACCATGTTATAGAGGAAGTACGGTTGATACGAACTAAGATTATTGCTAGTAGAAGGAAACTATGCACATGGTAACACCTCTGCTTTCAACGGAATGGCTTATTAACTATCTGTATTTGGAGATTTTATGTTGTCAAAAAAAGTCTTTAAAAATCAACAATTAGCTTTGGGAGCAACTATATAAATACAAGCACAATTTACTGTTTTGCCAGTGGCAACAGATCTTACTTGATGTATTTATAGCCTCCAAGGAAAGTAGCAGCCATCTGTTAAATAAATAACTCATTAGTGAAAAGCAAGTGTCTCCATAAGACTAACTGAAAAATCTGCAGGAGACTACTGCCATTAGCTGGCCAATGAGCATGGGGAGCTACAGATAATTTGGGTACTCAGAGAATCAAGAGAAACTTGTGTAGTGCAAGCTGAGATGAGAATCCAGATGACCATAGGTCACTTGAAGACATATTTAAGAAGGAAACTTAAAAAAAAATTATGGTACAAGGTCATAATGACACAGAGCTCTAGACTAATAAACACTTAATAGTATTTTCATCCTAGTTAAGATAAAGTCACCATGTAGAACATACGTGCATCATCAACAACTAGAGGCTCAGAGTACAATCAAAGCCACATAACAATATGAAACAATCTAATTTCATTTTTCTCTGGATGATTCAGAAAGCACTTTGGAACCACACAGCCTCCTCATGAACATTAATTTCTACTGCTATTTTCAAAAAATAAAAATAAATTCCCAACATTGGCCTGCCATTTATCTTTCCCCAGTCTGAGTGAAGAACACACCCATGTTTGAACTTTCTGGGTGGCAGTGCCACTTATGTAGGAGTTAACAGCACTTTGATGATGTTCCTCAGAGATGACAAACACAATAGGCCTGACTTCTGTTTCCTGGACAACAATCCCTGTACAAAATTGTTCCAGAGAGCCCATGGTATGGGTGTCACCTCTGGAAAGGATAAATGAAGGTGGGATTTCTGTACAGTGATCTCCAAACCCCAGCTTCATGCTCCTTCCATCCCACAGCATCCACCTTAACCTGTCCTTTGTCACCTTCTCTTCTAAGAACTTCTCTTTCATGCTAAAGAGGAGCTAAGAGTAGAGGAAAACAGCAAAGGACTAAAAGAGATAGCAGTAGGATAGTTTCCAACAAAAACATCCACAAGAAGTGAAGACCAAAAAGGAAGCACAGGCACGACCCTTCATATATCACTGAGGAAAGGTCTCACAAAGACGACTGAGCTGTCATCCAGAGGGGACTTAATTGATTGATTCCATTGTGGTCCAGATAAGGTAAGTGCTCCAAATCTTCTTTCATGTGCCAAATACCCAATTCCTACTTCTTCCAAAGTGTGTACACCCACTGTGATGCCGTCTAACACCAAGGTACTCCTGTGGGATATGAACACCAAACTGGGCTTCATGAAACCAACTTCCAATACTGCCACTAGCTGGCTGAGCAGCCTGGGTTCAACCTTTGTCCTCTGTGGGTCTCAGTTCATTCTCAATAAAGTCAGAAGAGCAGAGGAAGAATTGATACCAATCATCCTTCATTTGATTCAGTCAACTAAGAGCACATGCCAATCATGAACACAGTCCAAGTTTTAATTCAAAATCATGAAATACTTTGGACCCCCTAGGTTGTGATTATATAAGAGAGAAAGGTACAAAGGATAGGATGACGCAAATGAATCTGGACTGAGACTCAAAAGTCCTGGGTTCAATCGTGACTCCTTTTTCTATCAGTTACTGAGCTTTTATTTATTTATTTATTTATTTATTTCCATTGTTTCATCTGCAAAATGAAGTTATGGGTATATTGGGTTGTCCCAAAAGTCATGGCACATTTTGGCATAGAAAAAAATGTCGTGACTTTTTTTTTTTTTTTTGAGAGGTTTTCACTAGAGGGCGCGTGCACTTGCCAGACAGACAGAGAGAGACAGAAAGCAAGAAATCACCCCCCAGGGCGGATGGTCAGGCCGCAATCCCTTCTCCTCCATTCTCCTCTCGGGATCTTGGGCAAGCATGCACACGCGCCCGGCGTGAGTTTTAAGCCACCGGGTCCAGGACGCGAACCACGGTCGACTACGTGGGAGTCCAACGACATAGTCATTATGCTAACTGCTGGTTCCCAAAAATGTCATGACTTTTATGACATCCTGATAGATAATGATTCTTAAGTGGGACTTTATGGATACCTTAGGTCCATGGGTGGTATTTAGGGGTGTCACAAATCCCTCAAAATGTATGAAAATTTTTGTGACATAGGCATATTTCTAGAGAGGATATATAGAACTTTAATCATATTTGTAAAAGGGTTGCAGTTCAAAATTAATAATCTCTTCTACAGATACAATATGTAATTCCTTCCAGCTCTAACATTCAAAAATTCAAATAATACCAAAAAATGTGTATATGACAACCCTCTGAGACAAGAAAAAATAGATTGAAATTATTCAGTTAAAACCAGTAATAGGTGCCTAAATAGCTCGCCTGATTATCAAGGCTTCAGTACTTGGCCAGTGGGCACAGTCTAAGGTTCTGGAAACCCCTAGAGTTAACAGCCATCTACATAAACCAAAAACCAACGATTCTCCTCCCTTTCTTTGCTTTGTTGAGGGAGCTAGAAGTAGAAGTAAGGAAAAGGGGTGGGGTTGTGTGTTGTGATAATAAAGGTTTGAGTCAAAGCTGCTCCACTTGGAGCTGCATGGTAAGTCATCATTCTCAGCCACAGCTTGGACCCTGCGATGTTGAGATCTTTTTTTTTTTTTTTTGAGAGGTTTTCACTAGAGGGCGCGTGCACTTGCCAGACAGACAGAGAGAGACAGAAAGCAAGAAATCACCCCCCAGGGCGGATGGTCAGGCCGCAATCCCTTCTCCTCCATTCTCCTCTCGGGATCTTGGGCAAGCATGCACACGCGCCCGGCGTGAGTTTTAAGCCACCGGGTCCAGGACGCGAACCACGGTCGACTACGTGGGAGTCCAACGACATAGTCATTATGCTAACTGCTGGTTCCCAAAAATGTCATGACTTTTATGACATCCTGATAGATAATGATTCTTAAGTGGGACTTTATGGATACCTTAGGTCCATGGGTGGTATTTAGGGGTGTCACAAATCCCTCAAAATGTATGAAAATTTTTGTGACATAGGCATATTTCTAGAGAGGATATATAGAACTTTAATCATATTTGTAAAAGGGTTGCAGTTCAAAATTAATAATCTCTTCTACAGATACAATATGTAATTCCTTCCAGCTCTAACATTCAAAAATTCAAATAATACCAAAAAATGTGTATATGACAACCCTCTGAGACAAGAAAAAATAGATTGAAATTATTCAGTTAAAACCAGTAATAGGTGCCTAAATAGCTCGCCTGATTATCAAGGCTTCAGTACTTGGCCAGTGGGCACAGTCTAAGGTTCTGGAAACCCCTAGAGTTAACAGCCATCTACATAAACCAAAAACCAACGATTCTCCTCCCTTTCTTTGCTTTGTTGAGGGAGCTAGAAGTAGAAGTAAGGAAAAGGGGTGGGGTTGTGTGTTGTGATAATAAAGGTTTGAGTCAAAGCTGCTCCACTTGGAGCTGCATGGTAAGTCATCATTCTCAGCCACAGCTTGGACCCTGCGATGTTGAGATCAAGGATCAGGGATGTCCACACAATGGGACGAAGCTTACTCTCGAGCTTATCTTGATGAAGGAGAAGTGTGTAAGACCACCAGGGAATGCAAATCAAATTGCAAGAGAGCTTAGTGAGCCATTCTCCTAGCCTTTAAGAAATACTAAAATGATATTTTATATTGTCACTTTGATGTATTTCATTTGAACCTCGTCTGCCTAAGTTTGTGAAGAGCAATGGAGAAAGATCCCTCACT